AGAATGGTGGGTGGGCGTGGGGACAAGGAGGAAGATGAGGAGGAAGGGGAGAGAACATACAGCATAGATTGTACATGGCAGAGAAAGCTTAAAATATTTACCATCTGAGTCTACATGACCGTTTTTGCCAACTCCTGCTCTAGATGCCCTCAAGGTGAAAGTTTGAGCCGCACCCATGAAGAGGCTTTGAAGCGGCAATGGTGGAAGCATCCACTCTTGCTGGGAGGCCTCAGAGGAGGCTCAGGATCAGGGCTCCTAAGAGAGGACGGGGGGACACAGAGAAGGGCAGCTCATGCTCACTGGAGGGGTGCGGGGATTTGGTGTTGGGTTCCCTCTGGGATCCACGGAACCGAAGGTGCTGGGAGAGTCACCATGATGGACGTCCATGCACAGGGAGGGTGTCCTCAAGGACTGTGGATGGCTTGAAGGTGGCCTGTGGGACAGAAGGGCCAGTGGCTTTGTGGCGCCTTCATTAAGGGCAGCATGGAGAAAGCCTAAGGGATCCAGCACCTGGGGACCGAATTCCAGACCAGCCACCCACCAGCTCTGTCTGCTTGGATAATTGTCACTTTCCTGAGCCTCAGTTCCCCTCTTACTTAATGTAGGTATAATAACCACTTCTCGTCAATCTGCATTATACTTCGCTGTTAGCCCAGAGTAAGCTGTTCTAAGTCAATCCCCTCTAAATGGGGATCATTATTCTCACTTATCAGGTGAGAAAAGTCAAGTAAAGAGGGCTTAAACCACGAGTGTGGGAGGCGGGATGTGAACACAGGCATTGCTCACCACGTAACCGCATGTTTGCATGTGCGAACCTCAGGTGCCCAGGACTGAGGCCCCCAGCCCGAGGGTCACAGTCCACGCCTACCCTGGTTGGTCCAGCCCAACCAGGACTTCTCTCCATCCTTCATCCTCCCCAGTCCTGCTCACCCTGAGGGCCTCCTCTGGGAATTCCTCCTTTCCACCTGCCCCATCCTTGCTACTCAGTGTTCCTCCAGGGCCCTGAGTCTTTCCTCAACTGTGTGCTTTACTTGGAGCTTCCACCGAAACAAGATGGACTCACTCTCGGAGCTCACGGGCTCACAGGCGGGTGTGAGAGACAGACAAATGGCCCAGGAAACACCCTCTGAAAATAATTACTCGTGGCAAGTGCTATGAGGGAAATGAGGATTGGGTCTGGAAATGGGGAGACAGAATCTATAGGGAATGGTTAAGGAAAGTCCTCTTTTTTTTTTTTTTGAGGAAGATTAGCCCTGAGCTAACTGCTGCCAATCCTCCTCTTTTTGCTGAGGAAGACTGGCCCTGAGCTAACACCCATGCCCATCTTCCTCTCCTTTATATATGGGGCGCCTACCACAGCATGGCTTTTGCCAAGCGGTGCCATGTCCTCACCCAGGATCCGAACTGGCGAACCCCGGGCCACCAAAGTGGAACGTGCTCACTTAACTGCTGTGCCACTGGGCCGGCCCCAGGAAAGTCCTCTTGTGGGAGCCACTATTTCCATTGACATGGTAGAAAGGAGGGGGAGATTAGTGAGGAGAGAATTTGGGGCAACAGGAAGAGAATGGATAGAGGTGTTCACTTGGTATGGTTATAAAACTAAATGAAAATGTGTGCCTGTATTTTTCCAAATGCTTCTGTTAGTTCCTATCACCTGTTTAACATGTGAGTCTATATATGTATATGTTTATATTTACATGCATGTACATTTCTGTATATAGATAACACGTGTACTCTGAGTCCCTCTGCAGGTGAGATGTCCTAGAATCTGGATTCAGAAGCTCTCTAGGTGATTCTCATCAGGCAATTTGGGGAAACACTAGATTAGAAGGAGGTGGGAGGGGATGAGGCAGGATTTGATGCAAGAAAGGGCTGCTAGTCTTTTTTTTTTTTTTTTTTTTTTAGGAAGATCAGCCCTGAGCTAACATCTGCTGCCAATCCTCCTCTTTTTGCTGAGGAAGCCTGGCCCTGAGCTAACATCCATGCCCATCTTCCTCTACTTTATATGTGGGACGCCTGCCACAGCGTGGCATGCCAAGTGATGCCGTGTCTGCACCCGGGATCCAAACCAGCGAACCCCGGGCTAGCCCCAGGGCTGCTATTCTGAAGACATGGGAAAAACATTCCTTCCTTTCTTTCTGTGGACAGTGATAACAAAATGGAGTAACATATGTCAAGGCTTCTAAAATGGGGCTGGGAGGCCATTAAAGAAATGGGGCTTATGCACGTACGCCACCTCTCTGCCCAGATGGAATGTAGCTTTTGAACAGTGCCTGGCTGACATTATTTTGACCTTCCTTTAAGAAAAATGCTTCCTCTAGTAGATGAGAACTTTTTGCCTTAGAGATACCCTTAGCAACCAATCATTGGGGGGGCCAAGAAGTAACAGTTGTTGTCAGCGCCAGTCACAAGTCTTGCAAAACAACCTGTGTGATTTATCCCTTTTCGTCTTTATAAATCTTGCCTTATTTGTCTTCTCTGGAGTGTATTTTGGGTTTCCGCCTAAATCTGTGTCTCCCGAGTTGCGATTCTAATTGCCCAAATGAATATCTGCTGTTTCAATTACAGTGATTCTTTCCTAGGTCGACATTTCTTTCTAGAATATTTTTTGAAAACCTCCTTTGTGACATTCTGGGAACTGAGGACAGATGGAGGAGATGAAATCCTTGCTCAGAGGAAATGTACCCTCCATTGTGAGCTCCCAGGCGGTCAATAGTCTATACTCTTTGAAAAATAGAAGTCCACGTACTTGAAATAATACTTAAAAAAAGATAAATGAACTCATCGGTCACCATTGGAACAAACAAGGACACGAAAAGAAGAATTAAGCTTTTATCTTATATTTCCTGTATGAATTCTATTGCCTGATCAATTATTACTATTCTGTTAGTGATAATTGATGAGGAAAAGTTCTTCCAAGCAGAGGATGTGTAATAATTGTGGAAGGAACGATTGAATTCGTTAACATACATTTGTAAGCCTTAATATGCTGATATTACTTGAAAGCTGGTTGATTTAGACCAGAAGGTGTTTTGGGGGCGATCAGAGAAATTTGAATATTACCCGGTATTAAGTTATACCAAGGGCTCTTTTTAAAAAATTTTAAATTCCATGCTCGCTTTAACATGAATGAGTTTCACCAGTGAAATGGTGAGTGAATGAGGCCACATAACACAAGAATTCCTGTGTTGTGATTCAATTTCTCTGAAGTTCAACAACAGGCAAGATGAACCAATGGTGCTGAGATGAAATAGCGGTTCTTCTGGGGAGACAAAGATGGCATCTGAGAGGACACATTTTATAGGAACACGTAACAACAGAGGAAGAAAGTCCCCACAAGGCGGACAATGTCCGCCACTCATCAGGTGAAGAAGTCAGGACCAAGGGGCTTCAGCACAGTTTGCCAGGGGAGGAGGCAGGATGCAAGCCCAGCTTTGGGGACTCAGGTGTTCCCATCCCTCTGTGCTGTGCATGGTGCCCAGCCCTGAGCCCCCCAGCCTGAGGTTCAGAGCCCCCACCCACCCCGCCTGCTCCAGCCCTTGGCCCCCTCCACATCCTTAACTCTGCCCTCCTGCTCACCGTGGGGACATCCTCTGGGAGTGTCTCCTTTTCATCTTCTCCAAGAAATGTATCTCTCTGCCTGTCTCAGGCTTTGGCTGTGCCTCCTGCACTTTGACCGTTGTTTAAATACGATCCTGGGTAAAATCTGGTAAAATTGTGCCTGCTTCCCGAGACCGCAAACTCCCTCCGCTCCTGGAATCTGGGATTTGAAAGCTCCCCCGGTGTTTTTCATCATCTTACCAGCAGGTTTGAGCAATACTGGGCTAGAAGGTGGTGAGGGAGGAGAGCCCGGGTTTGTTGTGAGTCGGGGCTCTTATCCTGAGGATGCCATTCATTCACTGAATCAACCAATCCCTCTCTCTTTGCTTTTTTTCTTTCTTTTGAAAACATCTTCAATGCCTGCTTTGTTGCTGGCGCTTTTCTGGGAACCGGGATTTTGTTTGTGATAATTGATGAGGAAACGTTCTCCCAAGCAGGAGCATCTATCTGATAATTGTGGAAGGAACGGCTGAATTAGGTAATGGCCGTTTGTAGCCGCTGATGTGTGGATGTTGCTGGGACGCTGACTCAAACAATGGATATTGAGAAAGTATTTTGAGAATGAGCAGAGAAATCTAAATATGGGCTAGGTAGAAGGTTTGTGGAAATCAGTGAAAATGAAATGAAATGAAAACAAGAAAATATTTATTCAGAGCTTGCTACAGTAAGGGAGTCAGCCACTATCAAGGGGTTTGGCAGAGACCAAAAGGCAAGCAAAGGAGTCTGAACGCTTTATAGTGGAAAAAAGAAATCTTCAGGTGTGCTCTGACTGGAGACTGGTCGGCATGGGGAAGCTGGAGGCGGGCTAATTAGAAGTGGGGTGTCCTACGTGATTGGCCAGAGGAACATGTGTGGCTTTGTCTGGTTGGTCCTAAGTTGAAAGTGAGGGTGGAAGGGCTGCACGCATTAGGGAAGCTGTCAATGATTGATCAAGTCCTGGCCACTTTGGGCCACTTGCTACAGGGGTTGTGGTTTGGTTTCCTGGACTGGTTGGTACAGAGGTGGTGGGTCGGAGTTCTCTTTTTAGATGGGGTCTGGACACTGTCCATTTGTATATTCAGTCTCTCAGGGTATTCCAGGGTTTCTCTCCCTGGCACCAACAGCATTTTGGGCTGGATCATTCTTTGTCGTGGGGGGCTGACTTGCGCATTGTGGGACGTTCAGTAGCATCCTTGACCTCCACCCACTACGTGCCAGCGGCACCCTCCTCACCCCCCAGCTATGCCAACCAAAAATATCTCCAGACACTGCCAAATGTCACCTGGTATGCAAATCACCCCTGCTGGAGAACCACTGGGTTCTACCAAGGATTTTTCATTGTTAACGGTGTACTCTCAACAATATGCGTGAATTTCATCTAGAACATGGCGAGTGAAAGAAGGCACACAGAGGAGTCCATATGGAATGATTCAACTTATGTGAAATTTATGAATAGGCAAAAGTCAAAATAGCGGTTCCTTCTGGGGGGTTACAGATGGCTTAGGAGAGCATGTTTCATTGTCTTAAGGAGAGTTGAGGGACCAGCTCCGTGGCCAAGTGGTTGAGTTCGTGCCCTCTGCTTCGGTGGCCTGGGGTTTGCCGGTTCAGATCCTGGGTGCAGACGTGGCACCACTCATTGGGCCAGGCTGGGGTGGTGTCCCATATAGCACAACCAGAAGGACCTGCACCTGGAGTGTACAGCTGTGTCCTGGGGAGCGCTTTGGGGAGAAGAAGAAGAAAAGAAAAAAAGGAAAAGGAAGATTGGCAACAGATGTTAGCTCGGGTACCAATCTTAAAAAAAAAAAAAAAAAGATTAACAAAAGAAAAATTTGGGAGCTGGAAATATTTGAGTGGTCAAAGTTATAAAGAGATGGCTGGGAAGGTGACTGAAAAATAGAAAGTAGAAAAAAATAAGCCAAAGCTCCACTTACTGACAGTGACTAAACCTGAATGATACTGGAGAAAAAAAATAAAATCATAACAAAGAAGCAGGAAAAAGAAAAAAGATACTGCCCATACTAGTCTCTTAGATCTACCACATGGGCAGCCGCTAATGTGTTTTTTGGCGCTGTGGCATTTCCTGCTCCAGGAATGCATATAAATGGAATTATATAGTATGTTGTCTTTCGTGTCTTTTTTTCTTTCATTCAACACAATGTTGAAACGCATCCATGTTGTGTATATCTTGTGTTCCTTCCTTTTTATGGCTGAAAAGCATTCTCGTGTGTGGGAATCATTACAAATCATTCCACCACGTGACTTTTTGTGTCTGGGTCCTCTCACTGACAAGATCTTGGTGGTGATGAAGAGCAGAAGGAATTAGCGCTGATGCTCGTGGAAAGAACTTGGGATTCCAGAGTGGGAGAGAGGCAGTATATGTTAGGGTCTCGGCAGCAGCCGAAATGAACTATTTTGTGGCCAACAAAGTGGTCTGTGTGAGCATTAAAATTGGGGCACAGGCGGAGCTGGAAAGCAGGCACTGGATGCTCTGGATGCTCTGTATAAACCAGGGATGCGGGGAGGGCCCTGCGAGGGGATCTGGGAGGTGTATCCGCGCCTGTCTTGGAAGAGCTGGCCTTGCCTCCTGCCTCAGCTAATTGCTGCTGTTGAGCCTCTTGTTGTTTTTGCTGAATAGGCTTGTATTTGGCTCTCTTGAGTTTTGCTCTGTGGTTCTTGAACCAAACCTGGGGAGAAGAGAGAGAGGAGCAATGGGTTGATGAATCGGGTGAGATTCTGGAAGAGTTTTCATTTTACCCAATAATGTGGGTTCTTCTAGGTGGGAACAGCTGGTCCACACCTCTGCCACTTATATCCTATTTGTGGAACCCCTCCCAACCGACGCCCGGGGAGGGGCAGAAATGATAGGATGTTGGCGCAGAAAGTGAGGCGGGGATCAGAACACCCCAGCAAAGGGGAGAGAGGAGAGCAGAGGGGTCACCCTCGGGGGTGCTCTAAGGCTGATGTCAGCACATTAGCGCTCCTGGGCCAAATCTGACCCACCACCTCTTTTTGTACGGCCCATGAGCTAAGAATAGGTTTTACATTTTGAAATGGTTGGGAAAAGACCCCCAACACACGTGACACGTGTGTTTGTGACACGTGAAAATTACATGAACTTCAAATGTGTGTCCATAAAGTTTGATGGGAATGCAGGCACAGCCGTTGGTCGACATTCTGTCTGCGGCTGCTTCCACACCATCACGGCAGACATGAATAGCTGCGGCAGAGACAGCGTGGATCCACAAAGCCTAGAATATTTACTGTTTGGTCCTTTGCAGAAAAATCTTGCGGATCCTTGGGCTAGGGTTGGGAGGGAGGGTTACAGGGTATGGAGAGGAGTCTGGGTCTTGGAGCCTTGGGGATCGGGGTGGGAGCAAGCTTCAGGAATTATCCCGGAGGGTGTCTGAGTTCAGGGTGCTCCAGGGAGGTGGCTTGGTGAGAGGGGCATTACTGCTGACCTTCACGACTGTTGGATGTATCTCCATTTTTGAGGCCATTTCTCTCTGAAGGCTGGAGGTCGGGTATGGGTTCTCATTGAACAGGAGCCGCAAATCTGCCAGTTGTTTCTGAGTGAACATGGTTCTTTTCCTTTGTGGATACTTCTGGGGCTTTCCTGGGAAGAACGAGAGAAATCACACATGAGATGCTTAGACAATTCCATTCTCAAAACCCTGCACGTCCCCTCCCTCTCCACGGAGATCAGGCGTGGCTGTCAAGTGACTGAGATTCCCAGAGAGCTGTGTGTGACTTTTCTGCTAGCTTTCCTAAGCCTCCTTTTGTCATGGTCGCTATTCCATATCCCCACCATAGGAAAGGGTTGTTGATGTCCCCTTGGTTCTTTAGTCCTTTGTTATTTAAACATGGATTCCTTGTGTGTCAACAGTTGGGTTCTGTTTTCTTTGTGTGGAAAGTAGGCAACTCCATTCAGTGTGAGATGGACATGATTTTATCCTCATCATTCATTCAACTTTTATTGAGCACTGGTATTCTTTGAAGGATACAGCAATGAAATAAACATTAAAATAGAGTCACCGCTCTCCCAAGCCCATAGAGTGTACAACACCAGAGTGAACCCTGATGTCAGCTACGGGCTGTGGGTGGGAGTGATGTGTCGATGTCGGTTCATTAGTGGCAACAGATGTACCACGCTGGTGGGGGATGTGGATAATGGGGGAGGCTGTGCATGTGTGGTGGGCAGGGGGGTAAAAGGGAAATCTCTGTACCTTCTTCTCAATTTGCTATGAAACTAAAACTGCTCTAAAAATAGTCTATGAATAATGATAATAATAAAAACACTGCTCTCATGGATATCACATTTTAGTGGAGACACACATATACACAAAGTAAAAGTACTAAAATTAGTCACTGTTGCGGGGGGTGGGCAGGTCATGCACTTCTGGGTTCCCCCAGCTCAAAAGGTTATTAGAATAGATGACTGCAGAGGTCACTGGGTCTCCAGAGTCTGGAGTAATATTTCTGTGAGGCAATAGATTTGAGGTGAGTAATAGAAGACAGAGAGGCTCCAAGTATGGACTTTGAGTCCCAGCTTGGCAAATGACCTTTTATTTTGGTGAGGAAGATTGGCCCTGAGCTAACATCTGTGCCAGTCTTCCTCTACTTTGTATATGGGATGCTGCCACAGCATGGTTTCATGAGCAGTGTGTCCATCCGTGCCTGGGATCCAAACGCATGAACCCCCGGCCACTGAAGCAGAGTGCACGAACTTAACCACTATGCCACTGTGCCGGCCCCAGCAAGTGTGCTTTAGTACATGCATTTGCTTCTTTAGAGTTCAGAAGTCTCATGTGTAGTTGGTGATGATTTAAGACTCTGTCGCTGGGTTACTGAGGGTTCAGTTAGGTCCTGTCTGTGGAAGACAGGACTTGACATATTGTGAGTCTTCAGGGAATAGCACTGAATCTCAATCTCTCTCTCTCTCATACCCACACACAGAGTACATCTGACTGTGTCGTTCTCTAAGGCATATGGTGCTTTCAAGACATCCCATGAGCCTTACCTCCTGGTATTAACACCTTTGTTCCATCCAACATAGTACCCAGGTTGGTGTGTGTGACCAAGAGAGTACAGCAAAAATGATGGGATGTCACTTCTGAGGTTAGATCACTTCTGTCTTGGATCACTTACTCTCGGGGAAGCCATGTTGAACATCCCTCTGGCAAGACCCTTTGGGCAAGCATCTGAGGTCTCCAGACAAAAGTCAGGGAGGGGCTGAGGCCTCTGGCCAACCACCTTGTGACGAGCCATCTTGGAACTGGATCCTTCAGCCTCAGTCAAGCCTTAGATGACTGTATTCCTTGCTGACAAGTGAACTGCCACCTCACGAGAGACCCTGAACTCAATCCCACTATGTGTTTTTAAACAGTTTTATTGAGATAGACTTGACATATAATAAACTGTGCATATTTAAAGTGTGAGATCTGATAAATTTTGATATATGTATATCAATACTCATGATTTGGTAGAACAAAGGGATATGAAGAAACTTCAGGGACATGTCAACCTTATCTCAAAAAAGCTGTTAAATGCATAGTGGAGTTCAGTTTCTGGCTGTGTTAGAGTCAGCCATGCTGGATTTATCTCACTATGGTACACACCTAGAAGATTGGACAAAATATATAAAGCTGTTTTCAAATATTGGACATCAGATACAAGGCTGTGATTCCTGAGATAAGGGAAATCTTATGAAATCTTTATGAAAATCAAATGAGCCAACTTGACTATATATATAGGACACTACGCCCTACAATGGCAGAAATGACACCTTTTCCAGGGCATATGGAACATTCATCAGGATAGAGCACATGCTGGGCTGTAAACCAAGTCTCGAAAGATTTAAAATGATTTAAATTATACAAAATATGTTCTCTGAACACAATGGAGTTAAAATGGACACAGAGAACAAAAATCTGAAACATCGCTCCCCCAATATCTGGAAATTAAACAACACATTTCTAAATAAACCATGAGACAGACCAGAAATCAAAGGGTGTGTGATCAGCTGGATCTCCACATGGAAAAAAAAATAGACCTCAACTCTTATGCCACATGCAAAAATGAACTAGAAATAGATTAAAGACATAAATATAACGCCTAACTCTATGAAACTTCTAGAAGCAAACACAAAACAACATCTTTGAGACCTTGGATTAGGCAAAGATTAAAAAATCACCAACTATAAAGGTAAAAACTGATGAATTAGGGTTTATCAAAATTAAAACTATTGGAGTCTGGCCCCATGGCCGAGTGTTTAAGTTCATGCGCTCCACTTCATCGGCCCAGGGTTTCGCTGGGTTGGATCCTGGGCGTGGACATGGCACAGCTCATCAGGTCATGCTGAGGCAGAGTCCTACACAGCACAACCAGAGGCACTCACAGCTAGAATATACAACTACGTACTGGGGAGCTTTGGGAGAAGAAGAAGAAGGGGGAAAAAAAAAAGAAGATTGGCAACAGTTGTTAGCTCAGGTGCCAATCTTTAAAAAAAAGAAAACTATTGCTCTTTGAAAGACAGCATTAAGAAAACAAGGAAGCAGCCACATCCTGGGAGAAAATATTCATGACACATATCAGATAAATCTGTATCCAGAATATACAAATAACCCTTACAACTCAAAAAGACAAGCTGATAAATAAAATGGTCAACAAATGTAAACAGATAATTCACAGAGAGATAAAGGAAAGGCCAATACACTCACAAAAAGATTCTCAACATCATTGGTCTTTGGAGAAATTAAAATTACAACAACAATAACTCACTCATTAGAGTGGTTAAAATTAAAAAGACTGACAATACTAAGTGCTGGTGAGGATGTGGTGCAACTGGAACTCTCAGATTGCTGGTGAAACGGCAAAATGTTTCAGATACTTTGGAAAACCATTTGGTAGTTTCTTATGATGTGGACCATATATTTATCATATGACCTAACAATTCTACTCCTAGATATGTACCTAAGAGATATGAAAACATGTCCACACGAAGGCTTGTTTGTGAATGTTCATAACAGTTTTATTCATAATAGGCAAAAATTGGGGGAAAACCCTCAATATTCATCAGCAAGTAATGGATAGCCAAATTGTGTTGTATTCATACAATGGAATAACACTCATCTATTAAAAGAATAAAATTCTGATCCATACAACACAAGTGCATCCCAAAAACCTTATGCTGAGCAAGAGAAGCTGGACACTAAAGAGCATATACTGCATGTACTGATTGATATGAAGTACTGTATGCAGGCAAACATAATCTGTGGGCTGAGAAAGCGCAGCAGATGGAGCCTGGGGCTAGTGGTGGTGGTGGTCGTGTGTTGTGGGTTGGGGTGGCGGTGGAGATGATGATGACCCCAATGGGACATGAAAGAACTTTTTAGGGTGATGGAAATGTTCTGTTTTGTTGGGGTGGTGGTTCATGGGCATGTACATTTGTGGAAAGATACAGAACTGTACACTTAAAATGAGTAGACTTTGTTGTAAATAAGTTACACATCAACAAAGTTGATGTTTTAAAAAACTGAAAAAGAAAATCAGCAAATTAGGGAGTAAAGCATCTTGCCTTACTTTGTGAAAGTTATATATCAAATCCATCCAGGGCTCATCCTTAATGGAAAAATATTACGTGTACTTCCTTCAGAATCAGGAACCTGGAAAGGGCATTTGCAAGCATGGTGACAATGTACCGAGTACTGCCATAAGGAAAGGAAAACACGTGTAAGATCAGAAGGGAAGAGATAAAACTAATTCTTTGCGGCTAACAGGATTATTTAACGGAAAAGCCAACAGAATCATCAGCGATCAATAGGTGGGTTATTAGAACCACTAAAAGGGCTAAGCAACTTTGTTAAAGATCTGTCACATTTCTCTCTACCAGCCACATTCAACTAGAAATAAAATTGGAAAAAAAAAAAGACATTCACAAAAGCAACCAGAAACTCCAAGATATCTACAAATTGTCAACCAAGAGTACAAGACCTCAGAGACTGAAATGAGAAGGGCACAGCTTAAAACTGTTAGAGAATAGTTTTTGGAGAATATTTTTATGACCTCTGAGTAGGGAAGGATTTTGAAATTAGACACTCAATGAGCAAATCATTGAAGACAAAAGATGAATACATTTGACTATATTGTAATTAAGACATGCTATTCAAAGATTCCTTAAGGGAGTGGAAGAAAAATGGGAGAAGATATTTGTAATGCGTTTAAGTAACAAAGCTATCTTAGCCATGGTGTTGTGAACGAAACTATGGAACTTGTGAATCACTAAGGAAGAAGGCGGGAGGTTCCTCAAAAAATTCAAAAAAGAACTACCATATGATCCGGAAATTCCACTTCTGGGAATATATCCGAAGGAAACAAAAACACTATGTTAAAGAGATGTCTGCATCAGCGTGTTCATAGCAGCATTATTCACAATAACCAAGTCATGGGAACAGCCTGAGTGTCCATCAATAAAGAAGATGTGGCATGGATAATATACAGTGGAATATTACTCAGCCAGGACAAAGAAGGAAATCAGGGGCTGGGGTGTGGGGGAATTGGGGAGATGATGTTTAAGGTACAAACTTGCAACTAGCAGATAACTAAGTCCTGAAGATGTAATTTCCACCATGGTAATTATAGTCAACAATACTGTAGTATAAACTTCAAAACTGCTAAATGACTAGATCTTAAATGTCCTCACTACAAAAAAAGAAATGGTAATTATGTGGTGTGATAGAGCTGTTAGGTAACAGGTAATGCAATATGAGCTGACTCAGTTCTCATTATTCCCCATGTGGTTGGTACATATGGGGAAACTGAGGCATAGGGTGATTAAGGGATGAGTTTGAGGCTGTGCTATGCTCCGTCTCTGGAGAACCAGTGACCAACACATCCTTAACAGTGTAGGAGTTTACTGACCTTGGCTCCAATGTTAACGACAGAGTCCTAGTGTGCCTGCTTACCTGCTAAGTGAACCCGGACCGAGCATTTCATCTCTCTAAGCCTCGATCAACAACAACGTTATCTGTGAACTGGAGACTTCTCTAACCATAACCTCCTTAAAAGATTTTAATGGTTGAATCAGATCATGCCTGAAAGTGATTTAGCACAAGCCCTGGAATCCAGTAAATGCTCAATAAAATGACGAGCTTTCCAGATTTCTTGGTTAAGCCTAAATTCGACAACTTAAGTTGATTAATCAACCTAATGGAGATCAGAGTTCCCATTTCCCAATGATTAGAGGAATTATAACACAGTTAACAAGGGGGAGATTTGGAATTCAAAGGCAGACTTTGGTTTCCCTCTGATTGGGTTTGCCCTCAGATGACAGCTTCCAAGCAGTCTCCACCACCCTGTCAGCTGCTCTCAACTTCTGCACATATCTCTCCTTCAGTTCTCACACCAGCTTACCTTTAGGAAGATCCCCTGGGTCAGACATCGTGTAACCTGGATGTGTTCCTATGCTCTGGTCCAGTGACAAGAACTCACAAAAGTGGAATTGGGACTTAAATACGTCCCTTGACTGCCACACCCCTGTCCCGCCCCCTCCACCTCCTTCTTCCCCCACCACTAATCTGATCCCTGGATCATCCAGAGGCCCCGGATCACTCCCATTTCTGCCGTTTATCTGATATTTGTTGAGTATAGACTCACTTTGCTATTCAAAGTGAAGTCCACAAGCCAGGTGCATCAGCATCACCTGGGAGCTCGTTAAAATGCAGAATCTCTTTATATTGGTCAAAGCTGATAAACTTGCAGTGAAAAGATTAACAAGTTCTCTGGGATTTACTGTAAAACATGGTGATTAGAGCTAATAATACTGTATTATATACTTGAATGTTGCTAAGAGAGTAGGTCTTAAATATTCTCATCACAAAAAAGAAATGATAGTTACATGACTGGATGGAAGTGTTAGCCAATGGGATGATGGCGAGGATTTTGCAATACATGAATTCGTCAAATCGACACGTATGCTATGGCGGCAATCATCTTGCAATATATAACTGTATCAGATTAACACGCTGTACACCTTAACCTTCACAGTGTTATATGTCAATCATATCTCAATACAGTTGGGAAAGAAATGCAAAGTCTTGGCCCACCCCAGAGCGGCTGAGTCCGAATCTGCATTTTAACGAGACCCCCGGGTGGTTCAAGGGCAGCATTAAGGACTGAGGAGGACTGCTGTGCCTCAGGGCCCCTCAAAGGGTAGGGTGCGGCCGGGTCACCTGACCTTATTGGAACACGGATTGCTGGGAGCAGCCCCCCGAGTTTCTGATTCACTAGGTCTGCGGTGGGGCCCTCAGGTGATGCTAGGTGATGGGGACTGGGGATGCACCTGTCAAGAATGAAGTCCAGCTCTTGCCGTCAGGAAGCTTGCAGACCGCTTACATGTCCTTAGTGGTTAGTACGTGCCTGATGTTGTTCTAAGCACCTGCATATCCTAATTTATTTAATCCGCTCGATCTCATTTATAGATGAGGAAACTGATAAAAAAAGGAGTTTAATTGACTTGGCCAACATCCCACATCTAGTAGGCGGCAGAGCTAGCCTTCTTCCCAGGTGGTCTTGCTCTAGTAACCCTGCCTGAACCACCAGGTGCTGTTGCCTCTAAACCCGGTTGAGGGGAGCCAGAGAGCTCACAAGTAAGCAAACAAAACAATGGCTTCAGGGAAGAATCGCAAAGAAACAAATGTGCTCAAATAGACGGACTGAAGATACTTTAGAATAGCACTTCCAGCAAGTCTTCTAACTGGATTTCTGCCTACTTTTTTGTCCTGGGTTTTGTGCTCTGGACTAGAAAGCATTCAGCCAATTTAAGTATCACCTCAGCTGTAAAAAAAAAAAAAAAAATCGCATAATGAGAAATGATAATCACATCATGGGAAAATAATCGCCATCATCATCGGATAATCAGCATCACCTCCCATAATTAGCATGACAAATAATCTAGCTGAGAGGCAAATGGCGAAGAACACATCTTTAGAGCTGAATCAGCCACACCAAGCAATAACGTAAAAGCCACATTTTCCTCTTCTGATGGTGTCAGAAACCAATTTTTAAAGAGCCACCAATCAGCTTTCTCTTTCTGTGATTTACTTATTCTGGATATTTCATATACATGGAATCATACAATATGTGACCTTTTGTGTCTTAGCATACTGTTTTCTTTTTCTTTTCTTTTTTTTTTTTTGTGAGGAAGATTGGCCCTGAGCTAACATCTGTTGCCAATCTTCCTCTTTTTGCTTGAGGAAGATTGTTGCTGAGCTAACATCTGTGCCACTCTCCATTTAATGTGGGATGCCACCACAGTGTGGCTTGACGAGTGAAGCTAGGTCCATGCCTGGGATCCGAACCTGGGAATCCTGGGCTGCCAAAGGACAGTTAACCACTACGTCACCAGGCCGGCCCCAGCTTAGCTGGTTCATCCTTCTATCGTCTATCCATACTTCCTTTTTGTGGCTGAATTATATTCCATTGTATGGACAGACCATAATTTGTTTATCCATTCATCTGTTGATGGACAGCCTGGGGGCAGAGGGGAATAAGGAGTAACTCTTAATGATTACGGGTTTTATTTTTGGGTGGTGAAAACGTTTTGAACCTAGAAGAGGTGTTGGTCACACAACATTGTGAGTATACTGAATGACGCTCAATTGTTTACTTTAAAATGGTTAATTTTATGTTAAGTGCATTTCACCTCAAAAGAGAAAAAAAAAGACCCACTAAGAAAGTGCCAAATAAAGTCTCATTTTCAGAGGCCAGCCCCATGGCCAAGTGGTTAAGTTGGCGTGCTCTGTTTCGGTGACCCAGGGTTTTGCTGGTTCGGATCCTGGGCGTGGACATGGCACCGCTTGTCAGGCCATGCTAAGGTGGCCTCCCACAGGCCACAACTAGAAGGACCTTCAACTAAAATAATACAACTATGTACTGGGGGGATTTGGGGAGAAAAAGCAGAAAAGAGAAAAAGATTGGCAACAGTTGTTAGCTCAGGTGCCAATATTTAAAAACATAAATAAAGTCTTGTTTTCAGGGGCACAAAGATCTGCCTTTCCTCAAGCTGCTACCACAGTCCAGCCAAAGGGGCTAAACCCACAGTTTACTTATTTCTATCTTTGGGTACAATTTTTTTCCCTTTCTTGAGAAGGGACCAACTACAATAGGTAGGCTTCAGGAGAACCTAAATACTATGGAAAACTTTATTTTATTTTATAGTTTATTTTTTATATTTAAGTTAATTTTTAAATTGTTTTATATTTTATGATTATTAACTTTTTGGCTGGGTGCAGTGTACTTTTCTGATGGTACATGACGCGGTGGGGCTCCCTAAGCCCTTCCCTTTCCTTAGGCATCTGGGACAGAAACCATGTGGAGGAGGGAGCCTCTCAGTGTGCTGGGGGATTGAGTTGGGGCAAGAGTTCCCCAGCAGCCGAGGGCCTCTCTCTTCCTCTCATGCCCTTGCTGGGGCTGGTGGTCCAGGGGCTTTTACTTCTTGGAGCCCATGAAGTACTTGCTGTAGTCAAATTCATTGCCACACCCAGAAATGAGACTGACGCAGTGCTTATGGAGGGCAATGCCAGCCTTAGCACCAGAGGTGGAAGAGTGGGTGTCCCTGTTAACCTCTCAGGAGACAGCCGGGTCCTCAGTGCAGCCCAGGATGCCTTTTAGGGGGCCCTCTGATATCTACTCCACCACCTTCTTGATGTCATCATAATTCGCGGTTTTCTCCAGGTGGCAGGGGGCAGATCCATGACCCACATTGGGGGTGTGGACACTGAAGGCCATGGGTGATCTTCCCATTCAGCTCAGGGACAGCCTTGCCCACAGCCTTGGCAGCACCAGTAGAAGCAGGGATGATGGCCCCTTGGCCATCACTGGACAGCTTCCCACAGGGGCCATCCACAGTCTTCTGGGTGACAGCAGGGACTGTAGTCATGAATCCTTCTGTAAGTGAGCAAAAGTGAGGCCACCTTGGTTTTTTTTTTTTTAAAGATTTTATTTTATCCTTTTTCTCCCCAAAGCCCCCCAGTACATAGTTGTATATTCTTCGTGTGGGTCCTTCTAGTTGTGGCGTGTGGGATGCTGCCTCAGCGTGGCTTGATGAGCAGTGCCATGTCTGCACCCAGGATTCGAACCAACGAAACACTGGGCCACCTGCAGCGGAGCGCGCAAACTTAACCACTCAGCCACGGGGCCAGCCCCAGAGGCCACCTTGTTTTGCTAAATGGTCCCAGCCCCTCCTCTGTGTGACTACTGGCTGCCCTGCACGTACTTTAAAAAATTCACATGCTGTCCTGATTTACGGCCTCTGCTTACTGTACTCCCTGATACCTTGATAAATTAAAACTTTGTTTTATGAGTTTCTTTCCAGGAACAGGCTGACCACAGGCGGGAAATACACCTGCAACACATCCATCACAGCTGACAGAAGAATAGAACAATGTGATGCCCGGAGCCTCTCATGCCTGGAGACCAACATCCCTGGACCCCCTCATTGCCCATTTTCCCTCTGTAACTGCCTCAAGATTCTCTAAACCTTGAAGATGGGTTTTGTGAGACATTAGTCACCTATCTTGTGATTAGCCGGCTAATCTAATTAAACTTCCTTTCTCTGTTGTGATTAATTGGCTCAGATCACAGCGAGCAGAGCCATCCCATTGCTCAGTCGGTATCACCTCCACAATGCCAAAGTTGTCATAGGCGACCTTGGCCAGGGGTCCCAGTGGTTGGTGGTGCAGGAGGCATTGCTGACGATCTTGAGGGCGTTGTGATACTTCTCATGGTTCTTGCCCATTACAAACCTGGGGCATCAGCAGATGGGGCAGAGACGGTGAGCCTTTTGGCTCTACCTTTCAAGAGAGCCCCAGCCTTCTCCAAGGCAGGGAAGACACCAGTGAATTCCACAACATGTTCAGCACGGGTTTCACCCCATTTGACGTTGGTAGGCTCTCCATCCTGGAAGATGGAGATGGGCTTTCCATTGATGACAAACCTTGACTGTGCCGCTGAGCCTGCCAAGGTTGGAATCATTCTGGAACACATAGACTCTGTAGTTGAGGTCAGTGAAGGGATTATTAATGATGCCCAGGTGCCCAACGTGGCCTGATCCATTTCCTCTGACTTTCACCATTGTGTCTCAGGGACACGCCTAGCAGGCACAAGATTTGGCTGCCTGTTGAATGGGAGGAGCAGAGGGCCTAAACTTTTTAAATTAAATGGTCTCAGAAATGCCTACCTGAGTCTGAAAAAGCATACCTTAAGGATAAGCTTTTAGCTTGAGGGAGAGAGAAGAAGACAATGAATTTCTGAGTCTTAGTGGTGGTTTCCATCCATGGCCATATATCAGCATCCTCTGAGGAGTTTTACAAAATGCCTGGGGCTTCACCCCAGGGTCAGTCAACTCAAATCTCTGTAGGTGGGGCCCAAGAATAAGGATTTGTATACAATCCTCAAATGGCTTTAGTGCACAGGTAGAGTTGGAAACCACTGGCTCAGTCACCA